AAGTACTTCATTGGTTGGAAAGCATTTTGGAACTTTCTGAGCTAATGAAATACTGACATACTCCTGAGGATCCTATCAAAGTATGTCATATCCCTGGGAATCCACTGCGATAAATAACATGCGGCTGGGGATCCACCAGAAGTACTGGTACACTCCTGGAAAACCACTGCTAATGCAGACACACTTCTGGCAAACCCCAGCAGATATCTATACATTACTAGGACATGCCTCCAAAAACTGACAAACCCCCTTGTCCTAAGTTCCAAAAGGCACTGCCAGAAATTCATTGCAAAAAAAACTGCACACTAACAGAAATAATATGACATTAATTCAACAAGAAGACTTAAAGAATTTAAATTAAAATACAGTGTGCTTAAAACATTTGTGGCAAGTCTAAGGATAAGAATTTGGTCACTTGGTGCATCCCTGAGCCTTCGTTCCCAGATTTGATAACTTATATTGAATTATCTCACTCACCAAAGCCAGTGGCATTGACCCTGTCAACTGCAACCTGGCTCCAGGCGCCTGGAGCTGCACCGCAATCAATCACACTGATACCAGGCCTCAGGATGTTATGCTTCTCATCAATCTCCAGCAGCTTAAAAGCACTCCGACAACGGAAATTTTGTTGTCGGGCAGATTTCACATATGGGTCCCTCAGTTGTCTTGTTAACCACCTCTGTTCAGCTGGTGTTTTTTTCAGCTGTTGCGCTGTTGTGTGAAACAGACAATGTCGGACCCAAGAAATCATGTCACCCTGTCTAATAATGGGAAAAATAAACATATCTTACCAATTGCCATTTCTCTTCCTAATTCTATCATCTCTCTCTCTGCCTTTCATCATAACACCCAACACCAGACAGACTGCATTCAGCAATAGGTCAAGTGCAACAACAACTTGCATTTATAAAGTACCCTTAATGCAGAACCATAGAAAAGTCAAAGCACTGAAAGAGGCCATTCAGCCCATTGTGGTTGTGGCAGCACCTGGATGGTAGCTCTGCAGGTTATAGTACTCCAGCTATAGATCTGGGTTCTTTTTAAGCGAGTTGAGGATTTCCGCCTCAACCATTGAATTGGGCAGCAAATTCCAGGCACTCAATATCCTTTGGTTGAAAAAGCTTTTTCTCATACCCCGTCTAATCCTTTTGCCAATTTCTGTCCCCTGGATAGTTGACATCTCCGCTAGTGGAAATAGGTCTCCCCTGTCCACTCCAGTAACACGGTACCAATAAGTATTAATTGGACACAGAACTCCGGAAACGAAAAACAAAGAACAGCAGATATTGGAAATCTGAAACAAAAACAGGAATTGCTGGAAAGCCTTAGCAGGCCTGGCAGCATCTGTGGAGAGAAAGCAGAGTTAACATTTGAGAATGAAAGGTCAGCGGATCCGAAACGCTGACTTCACAGAATTCAGTGATAGGTTGCAGAGAATAGAGCATTGGAAGAATTAGTTAGTCCGATACGAAATGGAATGTGGCTGACCAGCAAGAAAAAGCAAACTTGTAGGTTGACCATGGCATGAGCGAATGGATTCAGATAGGGATTGGCTGTGTGGAAAACCCTTAATATAACTAATCTCCTTTCGCTATTACAACCTTCTGATTTCACAGCGTTCCTCTAATCCAGGTCTAGTACATCCCTGATTATATTCGCTCCATCGCTAGCAGCCATACCTTCAGCTGCCCGAGTCACAATCTCCGTAATTTTCTCCCTAAATCTTTCGATCCCTCCCTTCCTTCCTTTAACGACCCTCCAAAGCCAAATTATTCGGTTTTCTGACTGAGCATCTTCTTATATGGTTTGGTTTCAAAATCTGTCTCATGATATTCCAATTAAGAGCGGCGGGGGAGCGGTTCACTATGTCAGAGGCGCTATATAAATACAAGTTGCGGCGACACTTCAGAGAAGTAACAGTGCTGTGAGTGCTAGGTTCTTCCCGAAATGTTCGGTAAGGAGATAAAACGCTTTAAATCGATGCAAAACGCAAACCGGGCCTTTACCGGGCGATTCGGCGCGAAAACAATCAACACCGAGCTCCCAGCTCCGCGAGTCACAACTAACTCTGTCCCCCAACCAAACACAGCTCCACAAACACTTCCAGTCAAGATAGACTCTAGAAAAAAAAATGTCTTGCGCCAATCGCCACGATATTACTAAAATATAAGAGAATAAATACATATTCATCAACAGAAATGTAATCATCCTGCTTTAGCGTAGCTGCGTTACTTAAATAAAATGATATACAAAAATGCTCATATTATGTTTCCAGCCGGTGTGTGTAGAATAGAACTCACCTCGTGCGATACCTATCGGCGAGCACTGAATCGATTCTAATCGTTGGTGCTCGGTGGCCCCTGTGCCAATCCAGGAGGGAGTGCAGTCTGTGGATGGAAAGGGTTCAGTCAATCAGGTACCTGACCCAGGATCACAAATGTAACAACAAATCTTTCATTCATCGAAAGCCAAAATGGATACATTATTTATATAATCACATGAAGAACTCTGGGTGCTGGAAATATGAAACAAAGACAGCGCGCTGGAGAAACTCAGTAGGTCTGGCGGCATCTTTGAAGAGAGAAACAGAGTTGACATTTCCAGTCCAAGAACTTTTTTTGGACTCGAACACGTTAACTCTGCTTTTCTCTCCATGGATACATTGTTCGGTTGTAAATTTTTAATTTTAATTGTCGTTTGGTGCTCTTGAACTTAGGAAAACGCAGTTATAGAGTCACCAGCATGGAAACAGATCCTTCGGTCCAACTCGGCCATGCCGACCAGATATCCGAAGTAAATTTAGTCCCATTTTCCAGCATTTTGGCCCATATCCCTCTAAACCCTTCCAATTCATATACCCATCCAGATGCCTTTTAAATGTTGTATTTGTACTTGCCTCCTCCACTTCCTCTGGTAGCTCATTCCATACACACACCACCCTCTGCTTGAAAGAGTTGCCCCTTAGGTCTCTTTCAAATCTTTCCCCTCTCATCTTAAACCTATGCTGTCTAGTTTTGGACTTCCCCCATCCTCTCCACCCAGAGGAAAATACCTTGTCTATTTACTCCATCCATGTCCCTCCAAGATAGAGGACAGGAAAAAATTGTGGCTGTTAAGAGCTGCTTGTTTTTTGAGGTATTTTCAATGTTGGAGCTGATTTCCTCGAATTCTAGGAGTAGTGATTACTGTTTTATAAGCTGTTGCATTGTTTTGGAATTTTGCGAAAAGATGATCAAAACAATGGCACTTTTAAAAAGGAGGAAATCAGACAAAGGCAGTGGCAGTGACCACATGCGAAGTGATTCAAACAGTCCATACCAACCATATTCCCAAACTAAACAAGTCCCATTTGCCTGTGTTTGGCCCATATCCCTCCTAAACCTTTTCTATTCATATACCTGTCCAAATGTCTTCTGGTGATAAGATGACATTAGAAGTGCATGCACTTGAAGAGTTAGATTGGGACTTACGGAAGACATGAAAAGCACTATATCAGTGCACATTCTTTCTTTTCTGAACATGGTCCTGGCAAATTCTGTTGCCTTCTGAGGAGCGAGCATGGAGGTTTTTTTTGTTTTATGATTCAATGGAATCATACTATTGGAGTTGGTAACTGCTTCAAAGCCTCATTTCCTCATGATCTTTGCAGTCTCCAGAGCCTTGAACTCTGGCCTGTTTTACATCCCCAATTCCCTGTGTGACCATGCCTTCAGCTATCTTGGCCCCAAGCTCTTGAATGCCATTTCTAAATCTCTGCTCTCACTCTTTAAGACTTTGTTTAGAACCAAAAACATTGGCCTCGTTTTTGGCTACCTGTCCTAAAATCTCATGAGACAGCAAGGTGCAGGGCTGGATGAACACAGCAGGCCAAGCAGCATCATAGGAGCAGAAAGGCTGACATTTCGGGCCTAGACCCTTCATCAAAAAATCTCATTATGTGACTTGATGACAGTTATTTTTATTTTATGTTCCTGAGAAGCATCTTGGGATTTTTAACTATGCATCAATTGCAAGTTATTGAATGCGGTTTCAAAGCTGTTTTACACAATTTCTGCCCGAACAAGAGCTGCCAGCTATTGAGAAGATACTATTGCAGAAAGATGATCACTACAAAGCTGTTGACTCTGGTGATGGTTGTGAGACAACAGAAGATCCTCCTGGGATGGAAGAAACGGGGTTTTGGGGCCAATCGCTGGAATGGTTTTGGAGGCAAAGTGCAGCCTGGAGAAACCATTGAAGAAGGAGCAAAAAGGTAATGCCTGTGCTATTTATTTTTCCCTTCATGCTCCTGACAAAGGTGATCACTCTAACTGGGGTACAATTGCGGCCATGCTGCATTGGCGTTCTGTACGACAAAAGAGGACATGACAGGCAGGTCTAATTGTATCCTGACCAAAACATATCCAATTTCTTTTTGAAAGCTATTATTGAACCGGCTTCCACCATCCTTTGAAGCAATACATTCCAAATCATCAGAACTCACTTTGTAAAACACACATTCTTCTCGTATCCTCTCTGTTTTATATTGCTAACTATCTTAAAACCATGAGCTCTGGTTACTTGCTATCCCGCTAATGGAAATGTTTTCTCCCTATCTGCTGTTTCAAAACCTCTCAACGTTTTGGGTACCTCTAAGTTGTCCCTTAACTTTCATGGAAACATGGGTTCAAATTCCACCACAGCAGCTGCTGGAATTTAAGTTCAATCACTAAGTTTGGTATTGAAAGCTGGTGTCAGTACTAGTGGCTATAAAACTTTCACTGTTGTAAAAACCCATCTGCTTCATGAATCTGCCATCATTACCTAGTCTGGCCTATGTATAACTCCAGATCACAAAGCAGTGTATTCAATTCTTAACTGCCCTTTGAAATGGAACAGCAACAAAAGCTGGCCTTGTTGATGATGCTCGTGTCTCTGGTGTGTGAGAACAGCCCCAGCTTCTCCAGTTTCTCCACATAACTGAATTACTGGTACTATTATGTAACCCCACCTGATGGTAACAGTCAACAAGTCAGGTCCCACAACGAAACTTGGTTTGATGATTCAAATGTTTAATCTTTGCAGTTATTTATCATGACAGTTAGTCACTGAAACATTCTCACAAGGCTGCTGATACAGCAGAGCGTAAATTTATTGCACAAAAGAGGAATAAATAAACAAAACTATATAATATATACACACACGACACAGTTTAAAAAAACTCTTAACACAAACACCAAAACAAAGTTTCATCTTATTTCCCAACACCAATCCTTTACAGAAAGTCCATTCCTGAGAAATATCACTCTTATCTCAGCTTTTTAAATCTTTACTTAACTTTTATGATTGCTTTCTGAGTCTGTTAACATGAGACAATTCTGATGGCCTAAACTTTCTCAGTTCTAACATGAATGATTTCTATACGAGTTCTTCCTGCTTTGAAGCTCCACTGACTCAAAACTACTTCTGTAAAAGTGACTTATTTCTTTTGCTTTGAAGTCAAAACGAAACAACTTCCATGATATATTTATTCAACCGTTAATAAGCTCATCAGTAGAAGAATTTCATCCCATAGTTGACTGACGTCTTATGTTGTCTTAGAAATCATCTACTTAGGTCACTGTTCAAATGAATTTCTGATGAACTCCCCCACGGTATTAACCTAAATTCATTTCTTCTTCAAAAATCCAAATTCTGGAAAGTTATCACACTGTTCAGTTATATTTCTTCTGCAGTCTGCCTAAGGCTCCTTTTTTAAAATTGTATAGTTCATCACAGACAAATGTTCAAATCCAGAAACCTTTAGTCTGGGGGGGGTTTAGTACCATGCTTCCTTTAAACACGAGGTATCAGTGGAAATGTTGGCCTCTTTTTATTCTGCAAGTCAGTTAATGTAATTCAGTCTGCTCAATGGAATCGAGGTACTGACAAGACAATAATCTCATTAAATGGCAGAGGTAAATAGAAGAGTCTGACTGCCCTGTTTCCTCTGTTCCAGCTATTTGAAATGCTTTTTTGAAACCTCTTTTAAAGTTGTTCTTGAAGTAAAGCTAATTCCTTCCGCAGAGAATTATGGGAGGAGAGCAGTCTGACTGTGGACAGCCTGGAAAAAATTGGACGGATCAAGTTTGAATTTGTGGATGAGGCAGAACTACTGGATGTTCACATATTCCTTACAGATAGTTACAAAGGGGAACCAATGGAATCAGATGGTAAGTGACCCTGCTTTAAAAGTAATTCATTGGGTACTTAGAAAAGAGAGTAGCTATAGTAAGTGTGGGATCATTGGACAGTGCAACTGGGGATTTAATGGGGAGCAAGAAAATGGCAGATCATGTAAACCAATTTTTTTACATAATTGTTGGTGATGGAAGACACTAAAATAAACAAGGTGCTAATGGTGGAAAAGATCTTTGAACAGTCCTTATAATGAGAGACAAAGTAATTGACAAACTCATTGGACAAAAAGCTGACAAGTTGCCAGGATCTAATGGCCTTTAAAGGAAGTAGCTACGGAGAATAGTAGAAGCATTGATCAAAATATTCCAGAACTCTCTGAATTTCTGGAGAGTTCCTGCAGATTGGAAAGCAGTTAATGTGACACCACATAAGAAAGGGAGGGAGTTAAAAAGAAGAAACTGTAGGCCAGTTATCAGTCATTGGGAAAATGCTAGAGTCCATTATTAAGGAAGAAATAACATTTAGAAAAGCTTAACACAATCAAATAGTCTACATAGTTTTGTGAAAGGGAGATCTTTTACTAGAGGCCTTTCAGGATATAACATGCAGAATTGATAAAGGGGAACTGGTAAATGTAGTATGTTTAGATTTGAAGGAGGCATTTAATAAGGTGCCACAAAAAAGTTATTGCACAAGATAGAGGCTCACAGTATTGAGGGTAGTGTATTAATGTGGATTGTGTATTGGTTAACACAAAGAAGACAGAGTCTGGATTAATAGGTCTTTTCAAGTCGGAAAGATGTAACCAGTGAAGTGCCGCAAGGATCGGTCTTAGAGCCTCAATTATACTATATATTTTAATGATGGAAGAGGGGACAAAATGTGTTGCATCCAAATTTGCTGATGATACAAAAATAGGTGGGAGGGTACGTTGTGATGAGATCACAGGGCAATATCAATAGGTTGAATGGGCAAAAACATGGCAGACAGAGTTTAATGTAGGGAAGTGTGAGGTCATCCACTTTGGTAGGAAGAATCAATAAGCAAATTATTTTTTGAAAGGGGGGAGACTCCAAAGAGTACAACATCGAAAGGTCTGGGTGTTGTTGTGCCTGAAACACAAAGTTAGCATGCAGATGAGCAAGTAATTAAAAAGGTAAATGAAATTTTGACCTTTATTGCTGGGGCTTTGAGTTTTAAAAGTAGGGAAGTCCTGATACAACTGTACAAAGTGTTGATGAGGCCATACCCGGAGTACTGTGTACAATTTTGCTCCCGATTTGCATTGGAGGCAGTTCAAAAGAGATTTCACCTGGGTCGATTCCTAGGATGAAGGGGTTGACTTATCAATAGTGGCCTTTTGGTTTGGCCTTTATTCATTAGATTTCACCTTTATTCATTAGATTTCACAGGATTGAGAGTTTTTTTTAATGTTGACACATAGAAGAGTCTGAGCGAGTTTGACAGTAAACGTTGAGATGTTTTAACAAGTAGGAAATCTCATTAGGGTACACTCATTGAAAACTGAGATGTGAAGGAATTTCCTTTCCCGGCAAATGTCTGGAATTCTCTGCTGTAGAAAAATGTAGAGGTTAGATCACTAAAAGTATTTAAAGAGTAAGTAGATAGATTTTTGAGATATTGGTGAGTTGAGACCTGGAGCAGATTAGCTGTGATGTTATTGACTGGTGGAGCAGGCTTAAGGGTTTGAATGACCTACTCCCATTCCTATTTCTTATGAAAGGCATTTTAAGGTCAAGTAAGCATGTTTTCTAACCCTACCATGGTCTTGCCCCAACTACCGCATGCACCCCCCCCCGTAAACACTTCTTGTCATACATCGCTACATAGTACTGCTACACCTGGATTGCTCCATTACAAGATTCTGGCTTGTTATCATGAAGTGATCTCCATTTTGGTACATTAAGTTTGATCAATGCACTAATCAACACCCTCAGGAAAGATGCAGCAATTGTGAAGGCGGCATGATGTTTTCCGTTTACAGGTACTTCTTTTAGCCTGAATTCTAACTATTTGTTCTCTGGGGTTAAGTTATTTTCTACGCATTTGTAGATGGCGCATGCATGCTGAGATCCAGTCCTAGGCCAAATATATCCATGCTGAGGGTCAATTAGTAACGCCACTGCCCCCTCCACCTCTCTGAACCCTGTCAGAACCACACCACCCCCACTGTGCCAATTCTGTGGTTATGTTAATTGAAAAGCAGTAAAATAGAGTCACGAAGGTAGTGCTTCCCAAACGTTCCCAACTTTGACCAAGTTTTTGACCATCTGCCCTAAACTCATGTGGTTGTGTCAATTTCTGTCTCAATGGATTCCTGTGAAGCACCTTTAGAACATTTTACTCAAACATTGTGTTTGTGCATTTGTTGTTTTAGATTTGAAAAACACTTCCAATTTTGTTTTTTGTAGAGATGCGTCCACAGTGGTTTGACCTGGACGAGATTCCATTTGATGAGATGTGGGTTGATGACATCTACTGGTTCCACTTGTTACTCCAGAAGAAACTGTTCAAGGGTTATTTCAAGTTCAAAGGACATTCCACTATCCTGGAATACACACTAAAGGAGGTGGAAGAGTTGGAAACAGGGGAGTCCTGATTCTGACAATTTGCAATCATTTACAAATACCGTACAGGGAAAAGTGCATTCTTGTGCATCAACCACGCCACCTTCACAATCCTGCCATCAGTCATCCAACGCATCTATCTTCCTTTCCCCTATGTTTTGATGATTTTCTTCTACTTGTCAGTTAAACAGCATTGGGCCTATCTGACACCCCAATGAAATTTAACCCTTGGAATCAAGTGGAACTCTTTGCTTCATGATACTGGAGCAATAAATCATAGAGCATACAGAGATTTGGGACTTTTGTCACTGGAAGTTTGAGACATTGGATTCCATTTAAATTTAATGATCAGTTTGCTTAGAGGAAAATATTGGGTCTTTCTGGACTGTCTTTTGTATTTGTAGTCATAAGCAAATTTGTTTTCTTTGTAATACCAGAGTTTTTTAAAAAAAAGAAATTCCCAAAGCAATAAAGAGTTCTTGTGGAGGGCAGTTGGAGATATCCTAAGTGCTGTTCTAAAAATGCCCACTAGATGGTGCACAAGGGCAGCTATGTCAACAATTTGATTTGTTAATACCAGTCATGTTTTCTTTACTCAAACCATAGAGTGCTTGCACAAGTATTTTTTTTACATTAAACATCAAATTTTAATTCATCCTTTCCTTTTTGCATTGTATCAAATTGGAACAAGGAGAGAGAGGTGGGTGGCAGCAGAATTTCAAAAGTAGAACAGAGCAATTTTGTAAACTGTACTTGCTTATTTTCTCAGTATCCTTTGGGGAGTGGGGGGCACAAAGGGGAGACTGAAGTTGGATTACAGCTCCCAAAAGATGTCTACATCTGCGCTTCTATAGGAAGATGGATCAATCCAGAAAAGGAGGCACGAAAAAGGGACGATGAGTTTTTGTCCTGGCTGAAACATTGAGTCTTATTACCCAAGAAGTAGTGTAAATAGGATACTGACAGGGAAGGAACACTGACTGAACAGATCAAAGTTGTTAACCACACTCTAGCTTGAGGGTTGAAACTGCAAGTTCTGGAGGGGAAGTAGGGGATGGGAATTGGCAAGGGGAATATCCCTTCTATTTCACCACTAATTAACACCCCCGCCAGGGCATTCCCCCAACTACAACACAAAATAACTTTCCCCATTTACATTGTATTGATATTGGAGGAGTTCTAATCAGTAAAGAGGCAGCTGCTTTCACTGATTATAGCTGCTGGTGGATTTCTACCAACTAAATGAGAACTCCAGAGGCTGCAAGTATGTACAAGGCTGCCTATGGTAGATAACTTCAGGGGGATTTGCGTTGAGCTGACACATTAACTTTTTGGAAGTAGCGAACAGCAGTGGGCCTCTAGAACCACAGCCAAACACAAAGGTGTAGTCAACAGATAACTTGAAGTGTGGGAATTACAAGGATTTGTATCCAAACCAGCATATTGTACACTTTGGTAATTTAACATCAAAATGCAGCTTTAAACTGATCCAATGAGAGCTAATTCTTAATCCAGAAGCTGTAGTGGAAACAGTTCAAAAATAATTCAGAATTTACCTCCATTCTTGTGCTGTATTATAAAAATCTGAGAGAAATTATACTGGCTTAATATTTAAGGTGACAAAAATTAAAAGGTGTGGTTATATCAGACACTGGCAGGAGAAAGTTTTTTCCACTTTTTTTTAAACTGAAGGCTTAGAACATTGGATTGGAAATAAATAACATCCACTGCATTACACAAATTACACTTCAGGTCTAATAAATAATATTCCATGAACTTTGTGTCTTACTTTCTAATGTATTTGTTGGTCATTTGAAAGAGCTAGCCAATCGGTTCGTTTGAACTAGTTTCTCCTCTCATCACCAAGATCCTCCTTATGCAGGGCATAAAAAGAAAATAAACTTTAGTACCTATTGTCTTGCTAAATTTAAAGTGTTTTTCTTACAATTGTATCGATCCTATAAACTTAGTGGGAGCATTGTTTTATTCAACTTGTAATCAGATCAGTTCTCATTTACTCAGTGAATAGATTGAAAAAATACTTTTTAAAACAAATCAGTAACTGCTTAAAACAAAGCCACCATTCCATAAGTATATAATTTATTGTAGACAATTTTTATATATAGTAAACATATATTGTAAATCATTGTATTTGCTTTATATTCTGAATATAATCTGAGGATTTTAACATGAACATTATTAAATAAAGTGCAAATGTTAATCTCCTTCCAACTGACTTGAACTGAGATAGTATATACAATTGTAGATGATCACTTAACTCTCCAGATTAGCAAGAACCACATTAATTTCAACACTCTTCCCTGTAAACATGTCCCACAAAACAATTTCCCAAGCCCCAAATCCTTTGCATCAAGAAAAACTGACATTAAAAACATGAGGATGAAATCAGTTACAGCTCCCAACCTAAGAATCAACACGACAGTTTTCAAAATCATTTAACGTTGCACATTGCTTAGAAAACACATATTGAGTCTTGCCTCTTTTGCAAAGCTAAGTAATACAATTGACAGATTTTCAACCAATCTGATTAGTTACATCTGAGGTAATCCTTTAAAGAGCATAAATTAATTCAGATTTCCATGTTATTTCCTGCTATTAAAATATTCACCTTTTAACCAGCCAGAATGAGAAAACTGTGAAGGTGTTTTGGGCTTAGGTACAACATCAGGTACTCCCAGCTGGTCTCTGCCCAAAATAAGTTACATCAGTTCCAACGATGTAAAAATGCATCAAACTCCCAGTTCTGCAATATCTCAAATGAGATGGGTCAATGTACAGCATTTGTGACTGAACAAAGCATGTGAAACTGAAGGGAGGAGATTTGTGGCTGAGCAAATGGAGGAATGAGAAACAGCAGGTATTGTCAACTTTCCCAGTCTTTATTTGAATAAAAACTTATGTTCTGAGAATGGACCAGAATAGACTTGAATCCAGGCTCCGCAGATGAAAGGGCAATTGGTATCATTTAATCGCAAGGAGAAGGGCCATGTTGCTCAGAATCTTAAAAACATTGTACAGCCTTAAATTAATAGGGACTGTGGATACTATCCCAGTCACTACTCTCAGTCAGGTGATGACCATATAATTCCCCCATTAAATCATGCATGGAAACAAAGGAAAATAGCGAATTAATTTTGCACACAATTTGCATTATTTAACTTGGAGAAATCACCCTCATATTGTTAGTTTCAGTCATAAGTAATTTGCTGTATTCTTCAAATAGACGCTGTGAACTGTGTGCTGTAGTGCACTATATAAACAAACTTCAGTAAACAGGCCTTGATACAAAATTCAAATACTAGCTATGAATCCTGCTCTCCAACTGTCCACATGAATAAAAAATTATTTATGACACAACTGGCAGAAAATAATACCAAGATTACTGGATTTTGTCTGTCAACACTTTAGGGAGAGGGGGACAGAGGCCTCTGCCTAACACAGGGATTATATTCAAGACTACTTCTCCAATATCACATTCCTGGCACCTCCCGTCAGTTTCCTCAAAAGTAGAATGTTTACTCCTTTCACGGAGCAGCTATTGATGTAGTGACAAAAGGATCACTCACCATGTACAATCTCAAAGCCACCCTGCTATAGCTGGGTGGAAATATATAAACTGAATTTGGCACGTCAGCATTCTGGCCTCCTTAATAACCAAGAAGTGGCTCTAAACAAGAGTACAAATTAGTAAAAGTTTTAATCAATTCCTAGGGGAAGTTTCTGTGGCTTAACATTTCGCATGTCAAGATCCCTTACGTCTATGCCAAGCTTTCAGTTAGCGACACAATCACAGTAGGGCAGTGAAAGCTGCTAAAAGGATGTTTGCAGAATGGCTCTTTCCCATCAGCAATGGAGAAACATTCTTTGGGCTATTTTGGTCCCCTGTGTAAAAAAGACTTGCAATTATAGGGATCTTTACTGCAGAATGTCCCAAACTCCTCACAGGCTTTTTTTTTGTTTTGCAAGTGTAGTTACTGCATAATGTAGCAGCCAAATTGCAGACAAACAGCAACAAAATAATGGGTTTTTTTCCACAATGATACTAAACAAGCTGCTCTTCCTCAAAATGTAAAGCGAGGGGATTTTTAGATATTAATAGTACTTTTACATGATGTAACAGAGATAAAAGGAGTTTCCCTGTTTACAAAATAAAAAGTAAAATTTCCCAGAAATACTTCACCTCTTATGCTATCACCCATTTTAAAATGGACAGCTGGACAGAGCTCTAAACTAAGCTCTAAATTAGTATAGTACTGAGGAGCAGGTCATTTTCAGCAGTAAATGCTGTAGAATTATGGAATAAACCTACTCTACAAACCTCATTCTACGAAGCCTATACAATTCTTATTAAAGTCATTGGAGAAACATTCGGGTAATTGTATTGATGGTCAACAGCTAGATCATTTACATGTTAAAACCTTTCGGATTGAAGGATGCATGAAAGGAGCCTTATGACTACTTCTAATTCTATTTCCTGTGAAAATTGAGTAGGTAGGGTAAGAGGAGAAGCTTCAGGAACATTCTGAATGCATTCTGACTTACTTTGATGCTTATTCCAACAACTTTCTGTCTTGTTCTACAACATGCAAGGAAAAGGTGACATTTTTCTGCAGGTGTAGAGGTGGGGGCAGGGGGATGGTTAGACGTCACTGATAATCTACATGAAATAATCTCATGATTTCAGTGACCCCATCAAATTAGCACCTTGCAAGCAGTTCTGACAACATTACCTTGTACATAACATAGTGTCCCAATTATTGTACTTCAAGTGGCTGCAATACAGTGATTTATGGAAACTGGTTAACAGCACAGGTGAATCTTTTCTGCCTTTGGATAAGGTCTATACTCAAGGTTATCTAGTGCGTTCCCTTTTTTAAAAAATTGTCGATAAGCTGAAATTTCCAGCAATTTTCATGCTCAGATATATACCTTGCTATGCCATTTCAAAAGTCTTCCAAATTATTTCTATTGTTAAGAAAACAAAGTTTTTTTGAGAAGAATTCCTCAGGAAACATCCCAAAACCTTAAAAGGATTTCAGTTCCCCGAGCATGTTGGAATTTCCTGTTGTTTTCCGAGGTCAGACCATCTGCCTCAGTCCAAAACTCTCAGCAAGGACCAAAAGTATTTCAAGCCTGACTGTTCAACAATTGAGCTTCCAGTTCACAGCACTGAAGTGAAAATCTATATACAAAGTTTCAACTACAAATTCAATTTGGCAAGGAATACAATTATATATATAATCTGCAGTCAAACAATTTGACCTTCTGCAGATCAAAACTTCCTTGCATATCAAGGTTTTGGGGGGGGGGGGGGGGGTAAAAAATTAAGCTGAGTTGTACTGTGACATTATCTGCAAATGCATCACAACCTTCTTCACAAACAAGATTAATCTTTTTGTTGCACCTTCATAAAATCCTTAAGACAAGTGTAGTCAGAGTTAATGCAACAGGAAGTTACAAACAAAACACTTAGTATACCAATACCAAAATCACCACAAGTCCACATCAGGCACAATTTCCAATACATCTTTGATCCTAATCCACCAGGGGTCTAAAGTGAATGCTCCACTCTGCACAGACTAGAGTTGGGTGGAAGATCTCTAAACAAAACATTTTAAAACCAGGCTCCCATCCCCTTCAAGTTAATCCAAAGCAAATGGCATCTCTCATCAGGTCCTTCAGCTTTATTTTTTGGTTTGAAGGGCAAGGAATGGAATTGAATATGCAGCTAAAAAGCATGCAATAGGACTGTTCTACCTCACCATAGCTCAATCTTGTTTGCTTCATCAAGTCTCTCCCACCCTTTCAGGATTAAGCAGCATATCTCAAATAGTCTTCATAATTAACCAGCAATGCCACTCAAGCAGGTCAAGCAATGTAATGCAATTGTTCCCAGCAGCGAAAGGAGTAACATCCAACAATATAATCATTGTTTATATGCAGACAAATAATAGTTACCAGGTGATTACAATAAAATAGTTCAGGGTAGTCTGGATTCTATTCACATTTGGGAGAGGGGAAGTTCCACCAGAGCTGTTCCCTGTCCCCACTGATACACTGTGGGCAATTCAAGAGGGTTGCTCTAAACTGTTTTGTTAAACCAAACTAAAAATTGACTGATTAGTTCAATGCGGTGATGCTCCTAATTATATCAAAAGATGACCATAAATCAACACTGCCACAGATCATCAAGGGTGAAGATGCTTATTTCAACAGTCCAGCATCCCTATAGAAGCAGCAGGAGGTGGACCAACACAAATGGTATGGCTTTGTTTACAACTTTGAGTAGCTGTTATTTAGTAAAAAGTTTTAAACCATATTGCAGATAATGTCCTTTTATAGGGAACAAATATGGAATCTTTTACAGAGGATGAAGAGAAAGAACATCAATTAGAAATAAAGGAAACATCTCAATTCACTGTGGGTAAAATGGAGCTTGGTGCCTGCAAATTCCCTGGGGACAGAGGTGGTGACGGCACTCCATTGGGCAGAAGACCTCCCAGCTTTGGTTTCAAATCATTCCACACTTCACTCATCTGGAACGAGCAAAACAAAAACAATCATAATCCAGTATTAGCAATTCAACCAATACTTCACAATAGCATTGAGGGAGAATCTAAGCCATACTAAATATAGTACAATTTGAACCCCTTCAGAGCCATCTGCCACTTGATCAACCGAAGAACCAACAAGCACGATGAATGGTTAGAAAGGATCGGACACAGTGCTGATGCTGCGTGCAGGCGAACAGCCAAACGAATTTAAAACGTGTTTAAATGAATGCGAACTGGATATTCGGGGGTAGCTGCCACAGACAACTGCAAGAAGACACAAATCAGCAGAAAGGAGGACAAAAGGAATTGTAATAAAAAGTTAGCCACTACTATAGGCCCAGCCGTACCTCTCGATGCCCTTGGATCTGCGAATCAATGAAGGCAGTCAGCACATGGGAGATGATGTGTAAGTAAACATGGATGAGTTGAGTCTCCTGGTGCAGGCAATACATCGAAAAATAGTTCCGAAGCTCCATGGTGAGAATTGTGTTCTCTTGCTGAAATACGAGATCTCAGTTGACGCCAAGTTTAATGAAAATGAAACAAACTACAACAGTGCACAATTACAGAAATAACATTCAACCTCCTCTATCACACAAGAAGTTTACAGCAGTTTATTGCCAGTGTGATGGAATGCCACTACTGTAAAAGAAACCTGGAGTTGCTGTACGTGTTTTTATGGCATTCGTGACGGCCATTGCTGCACAGGAATTGACCAGAAACATTGGTTGGAGCAGGTAGAACAAAAGAGACAATGACAATACGATACATCTTCCACACCTCCTACCCACAACCTCCTTATTACCCTTAGATTAATCTGTTAAGTTCTTCCGATTTTTCCTAAATAAATAAACTCCTCCCTTAAATGTCTTAAAACGTTTCTTTTCAGAAAGTCAAAATTTTGCATTATACCCCCACCTCAGTTTCTTTCCAATCCACTTACATTGGCTCCCTATCCAGAAATTCAATTTTAAAACTTTCATCTGCATGGTCAAAACCATCCATGCCCTCGCTCCTCCATATTTCTGTAACCTCCTCCAGCCTCAAAACTCCAAGATCTCTGCACTTTTCCAGTCCTGGCCTCTTGCACATCCCCAACCACTAAAACAAAATAAAGAAATGGCCACGGATACTGGAAACCTGAAACAAAAACAGAAATTGTTGGAGAAACTCAACCGATGTGGCAGGATCTATGGACAGAAGGCAAAGTTAACGTTTCAAGTCTAGTGACCCAGGTGATGAGAGTTAGTGGACTCAAAACTTTAACTCTTATTTCTCTCTCCACAGATATTATCAGACCTCTGGAGTTTCTCTAGCAGTTTCTAATTTTGTTTTTAGATTATTCCATCATTGGCCCATGCCTTTGGCCAGATAGACCCAGGCGTCACAATGACGCCACCCAGAATCTGAAGGAGCAGCACCTCATATTCTGCCTTTGGAGCCTACAGTCCAATGGTCTAAACGTGGATTTTTCCGGTTTCAAAATCTCCCCACCCCCGGCATCAGCCCATGACCAACCCTCCCTCTCATCCCCGCCTCCTTGACCTGACACAACCTGTCCATCTCTCTCCCACCTGTCTGGCTCTTCCCACCTCACTGACCAATCCCCTCCACTCCCTACCTGCACTCACCTATCACCATCCCACTTACGTTCCCAAGCCCCACCCCTCCTTTCTCTATTTATTTCTGAACTCCCTCCCCCTTCCCCCATTTCTGAAGAAGAATCCCGTCCCAAAACATCAATTTTCCTACTCCCCTGATGCTGCCTGGACTGCTGTGTTCCTCCAGCTCCACATTGTGTTATCGCTAGACCCTGGAATTCCTTTCTTAAGCCTCTGTTGCTTGGTCTTCCTATCTTCAACTACAAGTTGTCCCTTATAAGCTACCTTCCCCAAAAATTGTTTTGTGTAGCTTGCTTTCAAATTTTATTTGATTACACTCTTGTGACACAGTTTGGGGTATTTTACTTTGTTAAAAGCAATAGGTCATTGTCATCTGAAAACCCGAGCTGTACATCATTCAACCACTAGCATCGATTTACTTTCTTGGAGGAGCCTTTTGCTTACGGACTTCAACACAAGAGCTGCTTATGATGGCTCTCTTGATATGAAGGGCAGGCATTGACTCAGAATTATTCCCTGTATTCAAACTGTTTTGTATTATACATCTTCCAAATGTTCATGACACTCTGATCGTGAATCAGCAACTCATTCACTCAGTTCAATCAGATTCTCTTCATTAAACCAACACATCTATGTTGGGGTCAAAGAGACAGCCAATATGCACCAAGTTCCCAAAAGATGAAATAACTACTCTAACAAGGGTGATAGAAGGGTATATTAAACTAGTTAAAATCAGACAAGTCTACAATAGCAAACAAAACGTAGTAGCAGAGCACCTGTACAATTCGTGACTCCAGTTGCTCCACAGAAATCTGCTCCTTATTTTGCACAGTTACACTCATCATCTGCCGTTTCATGGAGGTGTATTTCTGCAATGCTCGTTGGTGCTCATGAAGGACACCTTTCTCATGACGCTCACACAAGTCCTCAAAGCAAAAAATCCAAATACAAGCAACTCAATTTCAAGTTAAGAGATTAAAAAAAAACATCGAATTGATATCGCATTCATAAATCTGCCTATAAATTAAACAAATTCTACTGTCTCATCCTGCAGATACATCACCAGCTCCTTCTTAAAGCTTGTCACCACTTTTGGCCAGACTACTGGAATGGAGAACCCGCAAGAGTCAATAGGCCAAGCCAGACCAGCTCCTTGTTTGGAATAACAAGCTGCACAATGGCTAAACTAAATTAAAAACGCCACAATCAAAATTGCTCAGACATGTCCAATATTAGAAATTAATGGTTACATCTGATACAGAAACAAATCTCCCATTTCTGCATGCTGGCTGACTCATTAGAACACAGTTTGGAGATGCCTCAAATGCCATTTACTACAATAGTAACACTGACCTTGTAGGATTGCAACAGATCCAGAAAGAGGTTGAGTTTTTCGACCACTTCCTCCTCTTCTCGTTTACCCTGTTCAAGGTATGAAAACAAACTTAACAACTGTGCAACATGTTTTCATGCTCTAATTAATTAAGGCTTATTTGTCCCTTCTTCTGCTTTTCCAGTTAACTTGTCACTGATAAGCCATCATGTCACTCTTAAACCAGCCACTGGGAGGCACACACAAGTCACCCCCCAAATATTATGTTGACAGTCACACCAGAAACTTGGTGTACTGCAGACACACTCAATATGGTCCAAGTACCTCCATCAACTGTTACTGACTCTAGGGTACAATAGCATTCTACAATTGCTAATACTAACAGGGTCAGCATGGCTCAATCAGTAGCACCCGACTTGGATACAGATGATTATAGGTTCATATCTCATTCTGGAAGGTAAAGCACAAAATCTTGGCTGACACTTCCTGTGTACTGACAGACTGCTACACTGTTGAGGATGCCAGCTTTCAGAGAATGACTTAAACCAAGGCCTCATGTATTCCCCAGTGGATATAAAAGATGCCAGGTGCCAATAAAAGCAGGAATGCTCTCCTCCATCTCCTAGCCAATGTTTAGCTCTCAATCAACATCATGAACAGAACAAATTGTCTGATAATTATCACACTATTATTTGAGAACGTGCTGTGTACCAATTAACTTTTAAAAATATCAGACAGTTACAAAGTACTTCATCGGCTTTTGCACGTCATGAAACGTGCCTTGCAAATGTCAGACCTTACTTGTTTGTAGTCCAGTGGTAGAAGTCAGTTTTCAATTACAGGACTTGCCTGCTGTGCAGCTTTGTCAGCAAGTAATGCAAACTCCACAGATAAGCCTTTAAGGGCTTGCTTCAAGGTACCCCATGTGTTGCTTGCTGCTGATGCCCACGATGGAACTGGTGTTGTGTCAGAGCCCAAGATACTGGGATACAGAAAAAAAGATAAGTTGGAGAAGTAAAACAATTACAGAAGCAGAGACACATTAGAAAAACAACTCAACCACACAAAGCAAACCCTTGGCTGGATCCTCAAATGCCATCCTTGACATTCACTCCCTCCACCATTGATGCAGTGACAGTAATGTGTAACATTTACAAGAATGCATTGCAACAACTCACAAGGTTCACTGAAAAGACCTTTCAAATGCACAGTCTCTAGCATCCAGAAAGAGAAGGGCAGCAGATATCAATAGCACAACCACCATCAACCTCCCCTCCAAGTAACCAAGAATCCTATCTTAGAACCATAAGTTCTTTCACTGTCACTGGGTCAAAATTCTGGAACTCCCTTCCTAACAATTGGGGTTACTCCAACCCATGGACTTCTAAGACGAAGAGGGCTCAACACCATCACCTTCACAAGGAGGACTCTGGATGGGCAAAAGTTGTTGGCCTGACCTGGAACATCCTCCTCCCGTGAAAAATAAACAAAGATGAAAAAGAAAAATCGTGAGGAAAAAAACAGAAGAGATAGACTTTTATCCAAGAATCAAAGAGTTGGCCAAATATTCATATTTTGGGTTTCTTTATATCATGGATCAACATCCTAACTACCTGCAAATCAAATTCATTGTCACGATACTGAAACTTGGTTTGCCTTTTAATATAATTGATACAAGTTAATGTATTCACCAACACTACTAAATTCAATATGCCACTAAAACCCAATTGACTACTGTACATGTCAAGTCTCTAACAAGTATTTTCTTCTAGTTATTTTCTTAAATGGTGCAACTATTGATTTCTTCAGTCTATATTATTACATCTAGATTTGTCCTCACTATTGCGTCAGAGTTTTATTAGTCTATTCGCAGTGTTTCTTGTCCATCAATCATGCTTTCTCTAACTTAATACTCATTGTCCCATTTAAAGGACCCAGTAGCAACTCACCAAGTTTTGTATGGTATTCATTTCAGTTCTTCCCTGCTCTTCATTTAGAAAGAACGTACATTCCTTCGGTTGATATCAGTTTCATAGTATTTACAACAGCTAACAACATTCAAGAAACTTGACACCATCCAGGGCAAAGTAGCCCACTTGACAGCCACACTAACGTTCGGTTCCTCACCAGCAATGGTGAAGGCAATGTTTACCACTTACAAGATGCGCTACAGCTACACACAAGGCTCCTTAGACAGCAACTTCCAAACTCTTAATCTCGATCACCAAGGAGGACAACGGCAGCAGATACACGGGAAGCCACTATCTTGAAGTTCCCTTCCAAGCAACAGAATCCTAACTTAGAACCGTTTCATCATTGTTTCACTGTGCATGGGTCAAAATCCTGGAACTGCTTTGCCAACACCACCACACAGACTGCAGTGGCTCACCACAACTTCTCAGAGGTAATGAATTGCAATGGTAAGATGGGCAATAACTACCGAACAAGCCAGCAAAGCCCACAAGCCAGGAACAACTATTTTAAAATCTGACTTGGGCATACATCAGCTGCAGTATCGGTTGCATTCTTTATTGTCACCAAGTCAAAATCTGGAGCATCCTTGCTAATGACAATTTGGGACTGTAGTGGTTCAAGGTCGCAGCTCACTAGAATCAGTGTCATACAGCACGGAAACAGATGCTTGAGTTCAACTCATCCATGCCAACCAAGTTTCCCAAACTAAACCAGTCCCACTTGCCTGCATTTGGTCCCTAACCCTCTGAACATTTTCTATTCATGTACCTATCAAAATGTCTTATAAATGTTCTAACTGTATCTACATCTACCACTTGGTCTGGCAGTTCATTCCACACACAAACCACCCGCTATGTCAAGACATTTCCCCTTAAATCTTTCTCCTGTCACCTTAAAAATATGACGTCTAGTTTTGAACTCCCCCACCCTACAGAAACTCAAACCGTTCAGTCTCGGCAAAATCCTGGTAAATTTTTTTAAACCCTCTCCAATTTAGTAATATCCTTCCTATTGAAGGGCAACAAGAACTGTACACAATACTCCAAACGTGGCCTCACCAATGTCCTGTACAACCTCAACATGATGTCCCAACTCCTATAATCAATGATCTGAGCAATGTGTGCTAAATGCGTTCTTAACCACTGTCTACCAATGACGCAACTTTCAAAAAGGTATGTATCTAAACCCCCAAGTCTCTCCGTTCGACAACACCACTCAGAGCGCCCTACCATTAACTGTATAAATCCTATCCTTGATCGTTTTACCAAAATGCACTGCCTTGCATTTATCCAAATTAAACTCCATCTGTTGCTCCTCAGCCCATTGGTCCAATTGATCAAGGTCCCTTTGTAAATTTTCAATAACGTTCTTCACTGTCGACTATGCCACCAATATTGGTGTCAACCGCAGATTTACTAACCATGCCTCCCATATTCTCATCCAAATCATTTATATTAATGTCAAACAAAAGTGGACCCAGCACCGATCCCTGTGGAACACCGGTATTAACAGGCCTTTAGTCTGAAATAAGCCCTCTACTACTACCCTATGTCTCCTACTGTCAAGCCAATTTTGTATCCAACTGGCAAGTTCTCCCTGAATCCCATGTAGGATAATTTAACTAATCAGTCTACCATGTGGAACCTTGTTGAAGGTTTTACTGAAGTCCATGTAGACAACATCTACTGTTCTGCCCTCATCAACCTTTTCACACAAAGCCACGCTGTCTATCCCTGATCAGTACTTGCCTCTCTAAATGCATGCAAATCCTCTCAGAATCTCCTCTAACAACTTACCCACCACTGATGTCAGACTCACTGATCTATAATTCCTAGGCTTCTCTTTATACACTTTCTTAAATAAAGGCACATTAGCCGTCCTCCAGCACCTCACTCATGGTTGTAGATGATACAAATATCTGTTAGGGGCCCCACAATTTCTTCCCTAACTTCTCACAACGTCCTGCGATACACTTGATCAGGTCCCGGAGATTTATGCTCCTTTATGTTTGTTAAGATCTCCAGCACCTTCTCTTCTGTTATACAAACTGTTTTCAAGGTATCAATATTTATTTCCCCGAGTTCCCTAGCGTCTATTTCTTTCTTAACAGTAAAAGCTGACGCAAAATATTTGTTTAGTACCTCTCCCATCTCCTGGGGTTCCACACATAGCCAATCCGGTTGATCCTTAAAGGGCCCAAATTCTCTCCCCAATTGCTCTTTTTCTCTTAATGTACTTATAGAAACTCTTTTGGATCATCCACACCCTTATCTGCTAAGGCTATCTCATATCCCCTTTTTGCCCTCCTGATTTCCCTCTTAAAAAATCCCCTACATTCCTTATGCTCTTCAAGAGATTCACTTGATCCCAGTTGTCTAAAGCTAACATATGCCTCCTCCTTATTCTTGATCAGAGCCTCTATCTTTATTCATCCATTGCTTCTTACTCTTACCAGTGTTACCCTTCACTCTAAGGGGAACACATGCCTCTAAACTCTAGTTATCTCACTTTTGAAAGCCTCCCACTTGCCAGTCATCTCTTTATCTGCAAACAGTCTACTTCAATCAACTTTTGAAAGTTTCTGTCCCATTCTATCAAACTTTGCTTTCCATAATAATATTAGTTTAAAAATAGTTATGATCACTGGTCCCAAAGTGCTTCCCCACTACAGTCACTTGCCCTGCCTTAGTTCCCAAAACAAAGGTCACATTTTGCTCCTTCTCTAGTAGGTACATCTACATATTGATTAAGAAAATTTTCTTGAACATATTTAACAAATTCCTCACCATCTAAGCCTTTAACACTATGGCAGCCCTGTTCTATGTTTGTAAAGTTAAAATCCTCTATTTTTACAACCCTATTATTCTTTAATAAATTGAAGATTTCTCTGCATATTTGCTTCTCAGTTTCCCGTTGACTATTGGGGGTATGTCCGTAGTACAATCTCACCAAGGGGATCATCTCCTCGTTTGCGAATTCCACCCAAATAGCTTCACTAGACAATCCTTCAGAAATATCTCAAGTACAGCAGTAATGCTTTCCCTAATCAAAAATGCCACTCCCTGCCTATCTTGCCTCCTTTTCTATCCTTCCTATAGCATCTAAACTCGGAAACATTGAGCTGCTAGTCCTGTCTGCCCGACCCCAAGCCATGTTTCTGTAATAGCTATGATGTCCCGGTCCCATGTTTCCATACACAAGGGTACCAACAAATTCAATTCTTGCCAATGATGCCCAAATGACATAGAAAGGTGGTGTATTTGGTCATTCCACTAATCAATTCCTATGAACAACTGGTAAATCTTTCAAGTCTTTAACAGGGGGTACACTTTAAAGCTAATTCTTTGGCTATAAGTGCTTTGTGACATTGCAAGTTTGCTAAAGGAGCTTAAACCTTGCAAGTTTGTTCTTATCTTAAAAAACAGAAAACACATGTTAAACTCCAAGCAAGTTAATCTTGTTTGCCACTTGAAAACAGAGCTTGCAGTCCCAAACTGGTCAGCTTCAGTCAGTATCCTCAGCCTACAGGAGATCAAGTTCTGTCAGCACAAAAATTTCCTTCAATACTGCACCAGGACTATTTCTCTACTTAATCCATGATGGCCCTTGGATTCTCCTGGGGAATGTGGGTGGTTGCCATTTTGAGTTTCATTCAGTCACTGACCCTTTACCTTGATATTTTCCACATAATCCCACTCCTGGGAAAACAACCAAACTAGATGTTTCCAATCATATAGTCACCTGGCAAAAAACATTGTCTCTTGCTTTCTCTCCCTCTCACCCTCCAACCTGCTCTTCATGGGGTTGTGGCAATATAACGTACCAATTATCATGTCTTCTGAATTCCTGAAAATTAATCCCTCTCACTCCTTCACTGAACATAATTCTGTTCAATAATTAGGTAATTAGCAATAGTGATCACAATTTGCAACGTATTCCTTGAAACTTAGCTGAGCCAACAGCTTCCAAAATATAACCACTATGAACAAGTTTCCATTGTCAAAGTTCAGCCCCAAGAAGTTTACAATTGTGCACGATGATCCCATACCCACTGAAAACAAAATATATCTGAAGTGACTTGACTTCATTTTCTTCTGTACTTTTCCCCACCTTCCTTATCTGATGGCTTTGAAACCGAGCTGCTCCATTAAACTGTCACCAGACACAGTCAGCTCAATACTTCTCTCCCACCACATGGAAATACAGCATATCCATCTGCTCAGCACTAATAGAACACGGGGTGATAGATTTAAATACTATGCCAGCTGAACTCTGTGGCAAGAGAAGGTACAACATTGTCCATCCAGATTAAGCTTGACAGAAACACTTCCAGAGGTGAGATTGAGTAGAGGAAAAAAAGAGAGATGGCAAGAAAGAGAAAGCTACAGGCATAGACAGAACTCTCCCGCTAAGCTGAGGGAAAGGAGAAAAAGAAAAATAGCATCTTGCCCCATCCCCAAAGCCAGGTAGAGCTGTAGAGATGCACAAGCAAAGAAGAGCACATGTTGCTGGGCGTAGCAAGTATGACAAAGACAAATCTTTTTAAAAATTGCTCAAATTGTGACAAAACAGAATCGACATTGTGGAAAGTCTAAACACTTGCCTCAATTCCTTCCCAAACAGCAGGAGATCAGTGGCGTTCTCAGCAGATCTGTTTGCCATTCTCTCTGCCCGGTCCCTTAGCTTATGGAAACTGTTATAGATGTTTCGGATCAGCTCTCTACTAGCACCAAACTGAGCCTGAATATCAGGAGGAAGTAGTTCCTGCATTTTATGTGGGGTGGGGTGTAAGAAGAGAATGGTTTATATACACAATTGAACTTGTGGAATTTATGCACCAATAATTTTTGTCTCTTCTTTCATTCACACAATTGACGCTGCACACCTTCTTCCTCGAAGCGAGCAACTGCAGAACATCAATCGCACTTGGCATATTAGGTTCATAAACACCAGATTCAGAGACTCGAGCACATTACCTAAGTTGACACACACCTCAACATCATCTAGTCATAGCAGACTGAAATCTATCTTGGCAGCTCCAGGAAATCATTATTCAAAGAGGAGAGCAGCTCCCACCCGCACCCCCATGACCTGTCCAAAATATTTATCCCTTAACCAACACTGAAACAGATGATTCAGTTACCTCTTTTTTCCAAAAGGCCATTTGAACAGGCTAATTCAAAATTCCATAAGGAGATAAAGGTTTATGCTACATCATGATATGAAACAAAGACATGCAAATGAGCTTGAGGCACAGATCAGCCACAATCTAACTGAACATCAGAACAGGTTCAAAGGACTCAACGGTTGACTTTTGTTCTTATGCACCACCTGGAGCCCCAGTGTTCAAAACCTTAGTACAGATCCTTCTCTGTCGTTCAATAAAAGTTGTTCAACAAAGTTTAATGTATTACCTCAATAGTTTCCATGACCAATAATATAATCTATAGCCAAAAATTCTTAATGTTAGATTCCAGAAGGCTCTGTACAGACTACCCAAGTGTAGGACATGACTTTTCAGTACACTTTGGGTTGATCTGCAAGAAGACACAACTTGCAAACTGCACTTCAATGAAACCCTTGTAACAGTACTGTTAATACATAAAGCATCACTAGTTTAGTCAAATAAATAATTAACTTCCAACAGCAGAGCTCTAATCAGTACCTTGGCTGTTGTTGCGATTTCACACGTCATAAACTCATCACCCACTCCTCGCAATGATTCTCGAATCTTATTCTGAACATCCTTTTTCAAAACAAGAAGCAAAAGACCTTTAAAATCCTATTTCAAGTACAGGACTAATCTTCAAATAACTTTTATTTCATTGTCAGGATGTGTCCGATAAGGCTAACATTTATTTCCCTCCTAGTTAATGGCAGACTCCAGCAGTTTCAAAGAGTGTGACTCAGTTAGACATTTTGGATAGTATTTAAGAGTAGGTCCCATTGGCATGGAACAGGAGTCACAAATTTAGATTTAGGCAATGTCTTTCCCTAAAGGATATAAGAGGCACCAAGACAGAAAATGGATTAATTTACAGAATTAAAAAAGGACATTAGGAAATATCTAGTCATCAGCAACACTCATTACTGGTTGATGTCTAATGATGACCATAAATTGCCGATTGTCAGGAAAAACCCATCTGGTTCACTAATGTCCTTTAGGGAAAGAAACTGCCATCCTTACCTGGTCTGGCCTACGTGTGACTCCAGACCCATAGCAATGTGGCTGACGCTTAACTGCCCTCTGGGCAATTAGGGACGGGCAATAAAATGCTGTCTGGCCAGCGATGCCCTCATCCCGTGAATGTAACAAGTTGTAACACACTTAAAGATTATTCTTAATGTTGTCTCCTATCATTGAGAGAAAAGGCGACTAGAGTCCTCAGGGTAGTGACTTAGGCTTAATCATCTTCAACTGCTTCAATGACATTCCTGCCATCAATATCAGAAGTGGTAATGTTCGTTGATGATTGCACTATGTTCAGTGTCATTCGCAATGCCTCAGACACTGAAACAATCCGCATTCAAATGAAGCAAGACCTGGACAATAAAGGTTTAGGATGAAACATTTGCACCATACAAGTGCCAGACAATTACCATCTTCAATAAGAGTGAATGTAACTATCACACCTTGACATTCAATGGTGTTACCATGTCGGAATGGTCCACAATCAATATCCTGAGGTTACCATTTACCAGTGACTCAACTGGACTAGCTACATGAATACAACGTCGAGGAATACTGCAGAGAATAACTCACTTACCAACTCCTCAAAGTCTGTCCAGCATCTACAAGGCTCAAGTCAAGAGTGTGATTGAATACTCCCCACTTGCCTGGATGACTTGCAGCTCCAATAATACCAGAAGTTTGACACCATCCAGGACAAAGCAACCTACTTGATTGGTAACAGATCCACAAACATACACTCCCTCCACCCCTAATGCTCAGCAGCAATGTATACCATCTACAAGATGCACTGCAGGAATTCACCAAGGCTCCTTAAAGAACACCAGCCAAAACGACAAGCACCAGCATCTAGAAGGAGAAGGGCAGCAATGGTCCTGGAAATACCACCCCGCAAGTTCCCCTCCAAGCCACCCACTATCCTGACTTGGAAATATATTGCCATTCTTTTGATGTCGTTGGGTCAAAAACCTGGAATTTCCTCCCTAAATGCACTTTGAGTCTCCCTACTGCAGTGGACTGTAGTGTTCAAGACAGCTCTCCACCACCTCCTCAAGGGCAACTAGGGACAGGTAATAAATACTGACCCACCCATCGACATCCATATTGCACAAGTGAATAAAACCAGATTAATAAGACTTCTAATAACAAGTGATGCTGTTTTGTGGTCAAGCCAACCTTTTCATTATGATTATAAAGTGAAGACATCAAGGCCTTACAAAAATGTGTATTTTCTTCAAGACTGCATTAGTTATGCTTGCTCTGGGAAATGTGTTCCCGACTATCTCTTTCCATCCCACACATCAGTGCAGCTAAAAATTGGACTATTCCAAAGAGATGTGCATCAGATGTATGATGATAATTCACAGACCATCTGTCCACCCACATTTCCCCCATCCCACACACCCCAAAGCAAAACCCTTGAAATGGCTTCACTCAACACCTCTCCCACAGATGAGAGGAAATCAGCAATAAGGGGATTAGAAGGGAAGAAATTATTCCTGGTATTACCATTCTGCTTTACCCACCATTCCCTCACTTCTCTGGATAGGAACCAGTGCTCACTACTCGCACAAATTCTCCAACTAGTAAATAAAGCCCACTTGCATTTGGGAAACGACAAATAGGTCAACGCACGAATTTAATCGCCTCTTTACTCACTGGACCACTGAAGCACAGGAAGATATGTAGAAGCTCATCTTCAGAGAAGAATGGGTGACGAGCCACCAGGTTAATAAAACGCTTTAGAGCACGTCGCCGAGACTCAATAAATTCACGGTCAGCTGAGTTGGAGTGCAGAGAAAAACAGGGAATTGAAAACGCACACAATAAAACAGCAAAGCAGCCACATTACTATAACTTCAAACAGTTGATATTTTAAAACAAGCGCTACCTGCATTCTCAGCAGTAAGCGTTATTTCAAGTAACCAATTGATCAATGTTATGATCCCAGCTGATATTATTCACAGTCAAATCAGATCTCAGACTGAAATGTGGTTTGATAGATATTTATATTTTGTTTGTTTTTGATCAGGTGGCCTTTCATAAACAAGCAGAGAATGCAGCAGACTTGGTTTTCAGTAAAACAGACATTTATTACTCAAAAGAAATAAAAGACAAAATAGAACAAACCAAACTGTTTACAGGTTTAAAGACTTGGAAACACTGTACAACATAATCCCATTAATCCCAAAAATACTCCTTTACAGTACTCTAGCCAGAGAACATTCCCTTTATCACGTCTACTGGGCTTGCCTTAACTGTGACGTCAATTCTCAGTCCCGAGTCTTTCCTCAAACCTTTGTATAACTAAATTTAGACAATCTCAGCTTCAAGTAATCCCTTCAGTGTTTTAAGCAAACAGTTCTGGTCTAGAACTTCCAGACGAGACTCCTTATAGTGAGGTAACCTATTTCTTACTAGTCTAAAAGTATCCCGTCTCTTCAGGAGAAACCATCTTACAATTGCAACTCCAGCCAAGCCTCCAGCAAAACTGAACTGAAATGGGCTTTCCTCATGCTAAGAGTGCTTCCCACACTCCCCTAAGGCATTAAAAACAAATTGCAGAACCTTTTATCTGATCCCCAAAAAGTACACACGAAGTAAATGCACGCTTGAGTAGACTTCAATTTCACAAATATATAACCATTTTGCCACACTAAGCTTTTACCTCTTAGCATTCTCTTTGGCGGCAATGCTGGTACCATTCGATATGGGAACCGCTGGAGGAGCACTTCATGAAACACCACAAAATCATTGTATCGTCGGTAAACAGACGACTTGAATCGCTGAAAGGAAAATGCAGCAATTGTGAAGGATCACCATTCATACTTCAGAGAACCAGCCGAGGTTAAAATGAAAAGCAAAGATGAGGAGAATCAGGCAACAGTTCAGTGACACCAAGCAACAGTTTTTAAAACAACTTACATTTAGACTTTTAAAGTAGCTTTTAAAGTAGCAAAATGTTCTAAGTCACATCAAGTGTGATTCTATAAATGTTGATACAATGTTGAGCCAGAGAAGACAAATGCTTGTTCAAAGAGGTAGGCTTTAAGGAGCCATCTTAAAGGAGGACAGTGCTGGAAAGATTTAGGGAAAAAGTTCCACATCTTATAGCCTAGATAGGTGAAGACACAATCCTCACTGTTGGGACAAAACAAATCAGGGTTGCAGAAATGAACAGAGATCTTAGGAAGTTTAAGAACGTTGCAGAGATAGGGAGTGCAAAGACCGTGGAGGGATTTGAATACAAGGATGGAAATATTAAAACTGAAGCTTGGATGGACCAGGAGCCTATGTAGATATCAGGAAACAGAAGGTGAAGCTTAAAAGTCACTGAAGAGATCTAGTATATTCCAGAACACCATCATGAAGGATCAAGCCCTGGGCCGAACTCACCTGGCTGGAAAGTTCATATTCCACGTGTTTTAAAAACAGACCCTTCTTCTCTGGAATTAGTTCCACCTGCACCATATCAATATGCAGCAGGTCTTGCAGAGTCATTGACAAGAGGATCGGATTCCCATGAGCCTGCATCCGGATCGACTCTAACTCACCCAACTGAGGTTTTGGATATTCTGGGGAAGAAGTAGCTTGTTAAAGAACGCCACAGAGAACACAATCTAACCCACAATCTGACACTTCTCCACATCAACACAAGCTTGGAGCTTTGGTACAGGCTCACACAGTCCTCTAGCATTCATAGCATGTATGGATAAATTTCCAACTGATACTTCATTTCACTGCAATGATTAAAACTACACAAAAATTGCCTCCCTCTCCTCAATCTAAGTTTTCCCCTACTCAACACTTCTCTTTCTACATACATTTGTTGTGGCTCTGCAGATAGCAGTCAAGCCTCAGAAACAGGAGACAGTGGTTTCAAGTCCCATTGCAGAGACTGGGACAACATTAAGACCATCACTCCCAATCTAGTACTGAGATGCTGCACTGTCAGAGGTGCTGTCCCAAGCGAGACATTAAACAGTTGAACATAAAAGATCTCATGAGATGATGTGCAGCAGTAATGGAATTCTTGGCAGTATCTTATATTTCCATACTCTCATTATTTTAGAAACCTATTCAAGATCAGTATAGAAGTACTTTCACCAAATGAACTGCAGTGGTTCACAAACACCTTCCCTGACACATCCCAGGTAATACCAGCATTGACAGCAACATCCATAAACTTAAAATGATTATTTTTTAAATCAGCAACATCAAGCATGCAACTTTTAACTCTTGTTAATCTTTCTAAGAACTCTTAAGTTCCTTATTTTCCTCCCGGGAGCATAGAGGGGTGGCCTTATAGAGGCTTAGAAAATCATGAGGGGCATAGATAACATGAGTAGCCAAGGTCTTTTCCCCAGGGTCCAGCAGTCCAAAACTAGACAACAGAGGTTTAAGGTGGGACAGGAAAGACTTAAAAGGGACCTGAGGGGCAACTTTTTCACACAGTAGGTGGTGCATATATGGAACAAGCTGCTAGAAGAAATGGTACAGGTGAGCATAATTACAATATTTAGAAGACATTTGGACAGGTACACGGATAGGAAAAGATTGAGGGGGATGTGGGCCAAACACATACAAATGGGACTAATTCAGTTTAGGAAACCTGGTCAGCATGGATGAGTTGGGCTGAAGAGCCTGTTTTCGGCTGTATGACTATGCCTTTAAGTAAACTCACTGTACCTTGTGTGATATTCTCCAGTAGTTTTGGGGAAGGCTGCTTTCCTTGCTGAGCTAGAGCAATCAACACCAAAGCTCTGTACAGGGCCGACTTTGTGATGGATTCTTCCTTGGATTCTATAATCTCAGCAATCTGGAAACATAGCATAAAGACATCACTTGCAGGAGAATACACTTAGTCAATATGGGGTCTAATTTTTTCAGTTCATCCACAACAAGGTACTTTACAAGAAAAAAAGTTCAAGTTGAACATTGGTCCTACAGGAAGAGATCTGGTGAATAAATAAGGAATAAGATGAAGGCAGATGAATTGAAAAGGTATTTAGCATTAGCCTTTCCCTTACAGAATACTCGTACTATCTATTCCCCTGTTTACTGATTTTTCTGGAAGGAAGGGAGGAACTCAGGAAATGCAGAGGGACCTGGACGCACAGGTGGATGAATTGCAAAAAAATCATAGATACAGCAAGTAGGAAAACAAACAGAACATTATCATTTATTCCAAAGTGAACTGAGTATAAAAGTAACTTATTGCTCAGACATACAGGGAATTGACAGACCACACCTAGAGTGCTGTGTAAAGTATTGGTCTCCTTATATAATGAAAGAATGTAAATGGATTGGAAGCAGTTCAGAGGATGTTTACTCAATTAATATTTGGAATGGGCAGGTTGTGTTAAGAGGAAAGGTGAGATAGGCTATGCTTGTATCCATTGGGGTTTAGAAGAAAAACAGGCGACTTGACTGAAACATAACATCCCGAAGGATCTTGACAGGGTGGAAAGGATGTTTCCTCTTTTGGAAGATCTAGAACTAAGGGTTCACTGTTTAAAAAGAAGGCGTTACCCATTTAAGGCAGTGATAAAGAGAAATTCTCTCACGGAGGGTCATAAGTCTTTTTAATTCTCTTCCTCAGAAGACAGCAGAAACAGAGACTTTGAATGCTTTTTAGGCAGAGGAAGTTAGATTTTTGGTAAACAAGGGAAGAACAGCTTTCTGGTTAGGAGGAAATGTGGAGTAATTAAATCAGTCATGATCTTATTGAATGGGGAAGGAGGTTCAAGGTGTTAAATTGCCTACTTCAGCTCCTAATTCATACATCCGCATGTACCCCTTCAAAAGCTAAATCACACCCAAACTAAATAGTAAATTCTACCTATAAAATAATTTTTTCTGCGATGAGAGAAGGGCAAGTAAATATTTCATACTCACTGAGTCAAAGTATTAGGGCCGGAGATGGAACTAAGACCACAAGATGTAGCAAAAGTAGGCCATTCAGCCCATCAAGTTTGCTTGACCAGTGATATCACAACTAATCTGATAATCTGCAACTCCATGTTCCTGACTTTACCCTACAACCTTCGATTCCCTCACTGATTAAAAATCTGTCAGCCTTGAACACACTTAACAACCCAGCCCTAAACAGCCTTCTGCAGTAAAGAATTCCAGAGGTTTACTACTGAGAACAGAAATTCCTCACCTGTCTGAAAATGTCCGACCCCTTATTGAAATTATGCCCTTGGACCCTAGTCTCTCCCACAAATGAAAACAATCTCTCGGCGTCTACCCTGTCAAGTCCCCGAAGAATCTTGCACGTTTCAATGAAGTTGCCTCATTCTTTGATATTTCCATGAGCACAGGCCCAACCTATTCAACTTCTCCTCATAAGACAGTCCATCCATATCCATTACCAGCCTAGTGAACTGTCTCTGAACTGCCGCCATTGCCACTATATCTTTAGGTAAGGGGGTCCAAAATGGCTGTAAGGGTGATTGAGACAGAAACCATCAGAGGGACCTGGGGTTCAGGTACATAATTCTTTGAAATTTGCATCTAATACAGACAGGGTAGATAAAAAGGTGTTTAGCATGCTTGCCTTCATTGCTCAGTGCTTTGAGTTTAGCAGTTGGGAAGCCATGTTGAGGTTGTACAAGACAGTGGTGAGGCCTATTCTGAAGTATTGTCCAGCTCTGGTCATCCAGTCATAGGAAGGATATTAAGCTAGAAGAGATTTACTAGGATGTTGCCAGGTATGGAAGGTTTGAGTTGTAAAGAAAGGCTGGATAGGTTGGGACTTTTTCCACTGTTTAGAAAATCCAGTCAGACTGTTAATAAAAGTTTATAAAATCATGAGGAGTATAGACAGGGCCAATGGTAGATGTCTTTTCCTTAGGATAGGGGATTTCAAGACATGGGGGCATATTTTTAATATGTGAGGAAAGAGATTTTTTTTAAAAATTGAGGGGCAATTTTTTGTTTTTTTTTACACAGAGGGCAGTTCGTGTGAGAAATGAACTTGAGGAAATGGTGGATGTGGGCATAGTTACATAAGTGAAAATAATATTTCAGCAGAGAATTAAAATGTTTTGGGACATCCTGAGTAGGTCAAAGGCACAACTAAATCCAACTTTTCTTTTTTCTTTCCTGTTCTATACCAAAATTGCACAAATTCCCTTGAAATGCAGTGTTTCCAAAAGAGCAGATAATCTATTCAATGAGAAACTACATTGTACAGAACAGTGAGACGCCAACCTCCTCTCTGCACTGAATCAGACAAACCCTATAAAAACCCCTCATTTTAAGGGCAAACTATTTCCAGTCCTCTGGGAGGATAAAGGTGGTCGTGGGACAGTTGCGTGAAGGGAGATTAATCAAACAGGTGAATAAGTAAGTGCTGAATTCAACACGACAGTAGAAAGCAGAAGTTGCTAAGAGAAAGACAAGGCAATGGTATACTTACAATCACCTCTTCAGATTGACACAATGCTCAGTGTTAGCATTAAATGGTTTCCATAGGACAATTCTTTAATGAAATATTTCCTGCTCATCCAAATCTCCAGCAAAAGCAGTGCCAGGTAGAATACTTAACAATACTCAATCCAAAGGTAGCTGGTCAATATTTGACACCAAGTACAATGGGTTAGTTATTCCAATCTAAGATCTCTTCCTACTTATTAAAATGCTACATTGTGACCAACGCGTAATCAGTTAAACAGGAAAACACCAAACAGTCCACAATGTCAGAAGGAGAGGAAAACGATTACGTAAGTTGAATTTCCCCACTTAACCGAACATTTGGCAGTTTCATTTAAAAAGAAGCAACTTAAAACACAAATACTTTGTCTGTCAAGTGTAACGCAGCAGAGCAGGCCATTAGAGCAAAGAACAAAGAAAATTACAGCACAGGAACAGGCCCTTCGGCCCTCCACGCCTGCGCCGATCCAGATCCTCTATCTAAACCTGTCGCCTATTTTCCAAGGATCTGTATCCCTCTGCTCCCTGCCCATTCATGTACCTGTCTAGATACATCTTAACTGACGCTATTGCGCCCACCTCTACCACCTCCGCTGGCAACGCGTTCCAGGCACCGACCAGCCTCTGCATAAAGAACTTTCCACACATATCTCCCTGAAAAACTTTTCCCCTCTCACCTTGAAATCGTGACCCCTAGTAATTGAGTCCCCCACTCTGGGAAAAAGCTTCTTGCTATCCACCCTGTCTATACCTCTCATGATTTTGTTGACCTCCATCAGGTCCTCCCTCAACCTCCATCTTTCTAATGTAAATAATCCTAATCCACTCAACCTCTCTTCACAGCCAGCGCCCTCCATACCAGGCAACATCCTGGTGAACCTCCTCTGCACCCTCTCCAAAGCATCCACATCCTTTTGATAATGTGGCGACCAGAACTGTACGCAGTATTCCAAATGTGGTCGAACCAAAGTCCTATACAACTGTAACATGACCTGCCAACTCTTGTACTCAATACCCCATCCGATGAATGAAAGCATGCCGTATGCCTTCTTGACCACTTTTTTTCTTTTAAATTTATGTTGCAACTAACTGTGTGCAGAGAAGGTTCAAGTCTTATTTCAATTTAGCAGCTGCCCTGGAATATATATTAATATTTCAGCAACACATAATATTGAAATCATCCTTAACATCCTGTTCTCTCTCGCTATCAGTTCAGCAAATGTCCTAACCAAATCAAGTTTTTTTGTTTCAGATTCCATAAGCTATGCTGTTAGCTAACAGTCTCCTTTGGATCAACAGTAATTTATCAAATGACTGCTGCCTGTTAATGTAAATAATATCCAAAACCAGACTATCCACTACTTGAACAAAAACAAAGTTGCTGGAAAAACTCAGCAGGTCTGGCAGCATCTGTGAAGGAGAAAACAGAGTTAACGTTTCAGGTCTGGTGACTCTTCAAAAGAATATTGTTAAGTCCCACACTCCCCTCTCCTTTTGCCATCACACTGAATTTTTTTCCCTTTTAAGTACTTATCCAACTCCCTTTCCAATGAGATGTCAAACAAGAACTTGGATGTAAAGATCCCAGGACACCATTTCAAACAGTACCATCATTACCATGAGCAATGGCCAATCTTTATACAAATATATGAATATGGAACAAATATAGGCCTATTGGCCCTTTAAGCCAACTGAGGCATTCAATAAACTCATGGCTGATCCAATTGTAACCTCAATTCTACGTTCCTGTATATCCCCGCTATCAAGAATCTATCTACTTCTGAGTTAAAACATTTAAAGATTCGTATCCACTACATTGAGGAAGGGAATTCCAAAAATGCAACACTCCAAAAAATGTTTCCGCATTACAGTCTTAAATCTACGACACCTTGTTTTTAAAATTGTTGCCAATTGTAGATTCTTCCACAAGAGGAAACATCCACCTGATCAAGTCTCGCCAGGATTTTATGCTTTAATTAAGTCACCTTTGACTCTTCTAAACTACAGAGGATACAGGCTTAACCTGTTTAGCATTTCTTCGTAAGGCAATCCACTTGTTCCAGGTATTAGTCTAGCAAATCTTCTCTGAACTTCTTCCGACTCATTAATATCCTCCCATAAGTAACACTGTGCCAGTCAGACAAGCAGGCAGATCAATAAAAGAAACACCACTGATATACTGGCCAGATGTTAATTAAATTTAGAAAAGATCACTATTGGCCAGTTCTGTCCACAACATTTCCATTTAAGATAATCCACAATAAGTGATGAAGTTCTGAAGTGCCATCAAAAAAGTAAAGTCCATGAAGAATTGGGAGAAAACTCAGCAAAAACGCCAACGGTTTATACCAAACACCGAGTGCACACTACATTGGACAA